AATTGTGATAAACAAGCTAGTTTACTTCAAAACGATTTAGATAGCCTTTTCCAATGGTGCAGGTTAAGTTGTATGGATTTAAATTTAAGAAAATGTAAGCTTCTTCAGATCTTCTTCTCTGATATTGCAATATAATATTGACGGTCATTCATTATCAACTGTAGATTCATTTGTCGATCCTGACCTCTTGATGGATCCAAAATTAAATTTTAAAAGCCATGTAATAACAATGTTAAATAAAGCAAATGGCGTTTTAGGTTTTGTTAAACAGTTATTAACGCCTCTTGTTAGACCTATATTGGAATACGGTTCTGTTGTATGGGATCCTCAGTATGCAATATACTCAGATAAAATAGATTCCGTGCAAACATAATTTCTGCTATTTGCCTTAAGAGCTTTACATTGGAATAGTAATTTTGTTTTGCCTTCTTATGCTAGCAGGCTAAAACTAATTAGATTGCCTACACTTAAAAGCAAACGTATTAAATTGAACTCCATGTTTGTACTGAAAATACTAAATGGTAATATACATTCAGATTTCCTGATCTTATCTATTAGAATAAATGTTCCGTTTAGATCTAATAGATACTACCAATTATTATATTCTGATTTTCACCGCACGAAATGTGTGTTGACTTTAATTCTGTGTACTGTAATGTAGATTTTGGTATGAGTTTAGACCAAAATCTACATTATAGTACACAGAATTAAAGTCAACACACATTTCGTGCGGTGAAAATCAGAATATAATAATTGGTAGTATCTATTAGATCTAAACGGAACATTTATTCTAATAGATAAGATCAGGAAATCTGAAGGTATATTACCGTTTAGTATTTTCAGTACAAACATGGAGTTCAATTTAATACGTTTGCTTTTAAGTGTAGGCAATCTAATTAGTTTTAGCCTGCTAGCATAAGAAGGGAAAACAAAATTAAGTTATTAAATCTAGAATTTTTTGTTTTAAATATTTAAAAAACAAGTTTAATTATTTGACAAATAGCAGATGAATTAGATTCAGTTGCTAGTTTTCAATTTCCTACTAATTTTCCATTATAATGCGGATCATGATGTGTACGCGATCCCTGCGTAAAGAGAGGTCGCACCCTCGGTCGGCAGGGGTTGGAATTTGAGGCGTGGGAACGTTCGATAAAAAAAACTCTTGGCTCTCCTTCGAACCTTAAGTATTTATTTGGGGCAGAGGAACTGGTCACATCTACTTTTTAATATCTAGATATATAATATAAAGTGATTTTAGTTACTATGATTATAACTGAAGGACTACTGCACTTATGATGACAATTCACTCCAATTCTAGATGACCTGAAAATTATAAAACCAAAAAATCGCAAACAAATTATGGAATTTTTTTACTTCTAAATTATATAGTTTATATTTTAATATTTTTATACCTTCCACCATACTCTGTGGGGTATATTAACTTTGTCACTCCTCGAAATACTCATATTAGACTCAACAAAGTATATGTATACTCTTGATCAGCACATTTTTAGTTGATATAGCGTTGTTCGTTTTTCTGTCTGCATGTTGAATCACGCTATTTTTCGAACAAATTTAGATATATTTTGTAAGTAGCCAAGTTAAGTTTATAAATCGGCCATGTCGGTCCATGATTTCGTGTAGCGTCCATATAACAGTAAATCTAATATTACCGTACCTCGGTATTTTGACGAGTTAATCGAGTTAAACGAGTTAAAGTTCGTGACGGATTCCACCTCCTCTGGCAGAAATTTGTTTCATACAAGTGAACTTTATATCCTTATCTCCCAATATTCGGCATATTGACGAGTTAGATCACATTTTCTGTATAATCCACGTTTTCTTATAGATCAAACTTAACTGTACGTCCCTATGATTTAAGCCACATTTTCAAACGGAATTGTTTAAATTCGGTACTTAGGGTTTGTAATGGGTTCTACTTCCTGTGGCACATCATTGCCTTTACAGGTTCACTTTTTGCTACAGCCCAACATGATTTTAGCCATATATTCCAGGGGAATCGTTGAAAAGTCGGTATGTAGAGTATGTAATGAGTTCGGTCGTCAGTGACAGAAGACTGATGGAATGGGCTCATTACTTTTTATATCTCTCATAAGGTGCAACCTCCGTATTTTGTCAAATTATTAATATATTAAGTTTGTCATTCCGTTTGTAAATACCTCGAAATATAAATTTCAGACACCATATAATATTTATATTCTTGATCAGCATAAAACTCCATGATTCAACGATGTCCGTCACTCTAGCTTCTGAACGAAATGAAGTAGTTTAATAAAATGTTTAGATATGCGTTAGGTCTGTATTGAGTGATGAAATTGACCGTAAATAGGCAGTGTGTGTTCCTATTATATAAGAACCATCCTTCCATATAACTGTCAATACACGTCTAAGTTTTGGCATATTTCTCATATAACTGTACCTCCAGATATTCGGAATTTTGATGATATATCTCAGACTTTCCTTATAGGTTTTACATCCTACGGCGGAAAACGTCTTCGTATAGCTCTCATATTACGGTGCCTCCCTATATTCGGTATTTTGGTGATTTCAGCGAAGTTATCCATGGACATTGTTTCAAATTTCGTATTTTTGAAGTTCCTAATGGGTACTTCCATATGCAATTATTGGTCTTCGTATAGCATCCATATAACGGTACCTCCCATATTCTGACTTTTTAAGCCAAATTTTTTAATAAAATTGTTTCAAATTCGGTTCATTATAGTAGAGTATATTAACTTTGTCATTCCATTTGTAACATCCTTAAATATTCGTCTTAGACCCCATAAAGTATATATATTCATAATCAACATAAAATCCTAAGTCGATTTAACGATGTCCGTCTGTCCGTCTGTCCGTCTGTCTGTTGAAATCACGATACAGCCCACATTATTTGACGTAGAGCTCCAAAATTTAGCAGAGCTATTTGCATTGTGTATAGCATGGTTGGTATTGAAAATGTAATATATCGCTCCACGTTCTGGTATAGTCCCCATATAACGGTACCTCCCGATATTCGGTATTTTGATGATATGTGTCACATTTTTTCACGGATTTGTCTGGAAATTGGTATTTGTTGGTCATAATGGGTTCGTGCACTCTTAATACAAAACAATATCGAACCTAACTTACATCAACTCGCTGTTAACATCAGAGAAGCAAATGTGGATATTCAAAGCCAGAAACGATATTCTTAAACTTAATTTCAATAATATACAGGCAAATAGGAATCCACTCTGCTCTTTATGCAACTTGATGGAAGCTGAAAATCTTTAACATTATCTTTGTATAATTCCCATATTTAAAGAATTTAGAATTATGTTCTTCAAAAAGACACTGCTGTCTGACCTGATAAATATTTTTTTGATGGATATATTGTATAAAAACTTGCGATATGTAATTGAAAATTTGTACACAATATAGAAATCAGCAATCTGAATTTAACTTTTGAATCCAAATTTGTATCTTCAAATATGTCTTAAAAAACATAAGCTACAGACAGACAGCCATATTCTATTGTCTTATTGATATTTTATCATTTAATAATTTTCTATTTAATATTATATATACTTTTAAAAAAACACTGTGACGAATGTGAAACAAAAAATATTCTACTACTACAAATAGTTTGTAACTGAATTTATCTTAGGTGTCGAAACACATATAGGTCCATGTTTATCTATGGTCCTGATAAAACGGTATCTCCATTTATCCAGTATTTTGAATATTTTAGAAACATTATTCAAAAGAAATATTCCAATTAGTTATTAAAAATTTTTATGGCCCTATATTACCGATATCTGGATTTATAACGGAATTGTTCCAAATATTTTATGTGAAACACACATTACATAACAACTTCAATAGGTGAATATCGAAACATTATTTAAGCCACATTTTCAAACGGTATTGTTCCAAATATGGTACTTTATATATAACAACTGCAATAGCTGAAAGTTGTCAAATGTCAATGTTTTATTTTTATAAGCATACGCCTCGGTCGAACTAAACACTATGTTACTTGTTTAAAATACACTCATAAATAACTACATAACAATGATATTTGGTACGAGATGTCGCCTTATTTATCGGAAGCTATATATTTATTTTAATCGATTTCCACTTAATTTGACGGAGGTATTTTTCAATTAACACTTCTATAGGTTACATGTAATGACTTTGAGAGGACTTAAATTGAAATCGGTTGAAGGATATAGCTATATCTGAACCGCTTTTCACCAAAAGATCTCGACAGATTTTGGCAAAGGTATTTGTAGGATCTATACGATTTGTTCTACTGAAAATCATTATTATGGAGGGCATTGTACGGTTTTGCGACTTTAATATCAAATCGAATGAAACAAATATATGTGAGCAGTAGCTATATCTGTACCGATTTCCACCAAATTGTACTTAATTTAAGCTAAATTTAGTTGCATTTATTAAAATTTGGTCATATACCAAGAATTTTTCATCAAAATCATCGCGATCGCTTCATCCATATGAGGCAAACCTTTAACCAAAAATCAACATGTACCACATTGAAATATTCAGTAATAGCCAAAATGCCAATAATCTACTTTAGTGCAATTCCATTAAAATGTAACTTTAACAAATAAATTCAATACATCACAAGTTTATCTTTAAAAAAATATTATATGGCAAGACAATATGTGTAGGGTTTTTATAGTGGGGATCGTGGGATTTTAATTTTCTAAGTATTAAAACATTTAATGTGGAAATGTGCAAGAAATGATAGTAAAACCACAGTCGTTTATTTCACATATCATATGTACATACATTTTTATTTACATAAAGATGTATAGGCTTGGTTGAAACGAGTACTGCTTTGTATACTTTTTATCATTTTTTAAACCATAAGCGGTGGTTAGATAATGTGGTTTGCAAATATGTATTAACTTATCAGAATTCCAATTTTTTATTCAAGCGAATGAGTTTGAGCTATATATGTGAAGACTATTTAAAAGGAAAGCAGCACTAGAGACCTGTCAGTGCGAATAAACTAACAAGCTGGGAAAAACATGTCAAACCCTAACAATAAAAAGGCTTTAGAACTGCTCTTTGATCGTCCCTTGGAACCTGTTTTCACGGCAAGAGACGACGGCAAAGCTGTTTTTGATTTACCGGAAAGCTTCTATAATGAACAATATTCAGATGTAAAGGACGATATTGGTTCTCGATTTGGAGATGGATTTGAAATTCGAATTCCGGTACGCGATTTGCAGAAAAAGCCAGACTTAAGATTTGCACAAAGGTTGGGCAAGCATAGCCAATTTTCTCTTTTCAACAGGGTTCATCAAGAAATTGCTGCACGATTAATTGAAATATTTTTGGATGCTCCTAATGAAGATCTTTTTATATCAACATGCGCCTACTGCAAAGATCGTGTGAATCCTTTCTTGTTTCAGTATTGTTTTTCTGTGGCTGTGCAGCATAGAGCCGATACAAAAAATTTTCCTATAAAGCCAATTGCTGAGACTTTTCCACAAAATTTTGTCGAGCCATCCGTTTTTCAAGAAGCTCGTGCTGAAAGTGAAGTGGTCACCGACCAGGGAACTCGGGTATACGAATTTCTGTATTTTTATTTTTAATTTTTTTTAATATATATTTGTGTTTCAGCGTCATATTGAAATTCCACGAAATTATACAGCTTCGGATCGAGAGAAAGAACAACGTTTAGCATACTTCAGAGAGGATATTGGCGTCAATAGTCATCATTGGCATTGGCATTTAGTGTATCCTGGTTATGGACCTATGGACATTGTAAAGAAGGACCGTCGGGGAGAACTCTTTTACTACATGCATCATCAGATATTGGCTCGATACAATACAGAACGTTTCTGCAACAACTTAGCAAAACTACGTCCCCTGAACAACTTGCGTGCACCAATTCCTGAAGGGTATTTCCCAAAAATTATGAGCAGTTTAAACAGCCGCACCTATCCTGGTCGTAATGTAAACAATGTATTAGCAGATATCGACCGTGATGACACCCATTTGGAAATTTCCGATATGGAAAGATGGATCGATCGTATAATTGCAGCTATTGACAAGGGCTACGTTAATGATGTAATTTTATTGTTGTATTCTATTATTATTCATTTAACTGTTTATTTTTGCATTTGTAGTCGGATGGAAAGGAAATTCCTTTAGATGAAAAGAACGGTATTGATATTTTGGGAGATATTGTTGAATGTACCAGCCTATCTATCAATCCCGACTATTATGGAAATTTGCATAACCAGGGTCACAACGCCATTTCGTACTGCCACGATCCAGAAGCTCGGTTTCTAGAAGATTTCAGTGTTATGGGAGACGTCACTACGGCTATGCGTGACCCCGTATTTTACAGATGGCACGGATTTATTGATAGCATTTTCAATCGTCACAAAGAACGGCTGAATCCATATGGTGAAAAGGATCTCTCATTTAATGGGGTTGTGGTCAATAGCTTAGATGTAATATTAACTTCTGCAAATGCTCCAGCTAACCACCTTTTAACTTATTTAGAGAGGTCGGATGTTAATTTAGCTGCCGGATTAGATTTTGGACCTCGAGGCAATATTTATGCAACATTCACCCATTTACAACACGCTCCCTTTAAGTATGTAATTGATGTGACTAACAATCGAAACATGCCATTAAGAGGTACATGTCGCATATTCCTATGTCCACAGTCAGATGAGCGCGGGACACCCTTAAATTTAAACGAACAAAGGCAGTTGGCAATAGAACTGGATAAGTTCAAAGTTACATGTAAGTACACAAAGTACATATATGGGTTCAAATTTGTTTTTAGAAAAAAAAACCGGAAGACAATTATAAGATTATGTTTTAACAAATTAGGTGCTGTGATCATATACTTCAGAAAAATACGTATAACAAGGTCATAATGTTCAAGAAGGGGACATTACTTGCAGCCTTAAGAAATCTCTCCTTTATTTGGCTTAAAGCGGGACGTGTATATATTTTATCCAATCACACGATATTACCTCAGATAATTAATTTTCATATTTTTTTAGTTTTTGTACAATTTCCATTTATACTCCAATTTACTAACTATCATACACTTGTTGCTCGAGACATTTGGTATGAATCCCATTGTGCCGGACCACCTTACATTAGTCTTGAGTACGTTTTCTACGATGGTCATTTTAATTTACAAGCCAAATGCCCTTAAAGTTTATCGGATTTTCCATAATTCCATTGTGCCGGACCACTTTTACAGTGGTCTTTTGTACATTTTCTACCGTAGTTATTGTAATTTATAAGGCAAATATCCTTAAAGTTTGTCGGATTTTCCATAATTCGCAGTAAAGGGAATTATTGTAAGTCTGATAACGAAGCATACTTTTTCACAAAATATGTAATTCTATCCTAAAGAGTATAGAATAATAAACAGAAGCTATACATTTTTCTGAGTGTACCCGAGTCTGTCATTTTTGTGTTAGCATTTGTTTTGAAAATTATTTTTTCGCGGAATTTTGCTTATAAATCTGAACTTGTTGTCTCGCATTTTAAATAATTTTGAAAGAAAGCAGACATAGCAGAGAGTTAGTAAAATTTTGTAAACCTACGTCACCTTTATTGGGTCTAAAATGTATATTTGGAGTGTTACAAACGGAATGACAAACTGAATATGCCCTCCATACTATGATGTATTCGGAAATTCACTAAAAAAATCACTATGTATGACAACTTTATTAGACAAGAAAATAACATAATTAGATACTACAGGAGTTGCCACACCGATTGCTATTAACATAAAATGTAATTAGAACGTTCAAACTACATTATGTTCTTAAACCACGAAAACTGGTCATTGGTAAATTCACAAAATTGCAGCCCTACATTTTGTAACAAAGCAAAGGTTAAAAAAAAGTAAAAAAAACATTAAGTTCTGCCGGGCCGAACTTTCAATACCCTCCACCTTAGGGTAAAGAAACATTTTTATATAAATGTACCTGAATTCAAGCGTGTCTCACTTTAAACTTCAAATACCAATAAGACCGTTTACACGATACAGTTAAATTTATCAAAAAAAAAAAACATAAAGTGAGTTACGAAGTTATATGGGGCCATACCAAAACGAGAACCTCTATAGGCAATTGATTACTTCAAGGATTGTCATCGATCAAATCTTCTAAAATTCCAAATTTGAAGCAATTATGTGGGTAATTGTGACTAGGATTATCAATATACCGAATATCGGTGGGTATAGTTATATGTGCGCTTTAATAAAACGTGGAACTAAATATTCAATGTTTTGCCACCATTATGAACTGCAAATTCCAATTTTTAGCAAAATATCGAATATCGGGAGGTACAGTTATATGGGTGCTATACCAAAACGTGGATCTGTACTTATAATGCTTCGCAATACGAGCTAGAACCCATTTTGACCAACAAATACCAATTTTTAAGACAAATCCGTGGTAAAATGTGGCAAAAATCATCAAAATACCGAATATCGGGAGGTACCGTTATATGGGGTATATACCAAGACGTTCATATATACATACAATGTTTCGCCGGAGCAAGAACCAATAATGACCAAGCGCAAGTTTAAATGCAGACAAATTAAAATTTTTCTACGGGTCTTTTCTCAATAAGAAATTCTCTTTAACGATATATTGGTAACAATTTGTTGATTTAATTTTAAACCTACTAAAAATCTAAATTTTTTGTTATGTTCCTTTCTATAAATCTAAAATTTTCCTTTGATTTGCAAAAGGTTTCATGTCAATTGCAAAAGGGTTCATTTCTGTTGCAAAACGTTTATTTCAATTACAAAAGGGTTCACTTAATTTGAAAATGCTATAGATAAAAAAGTACTAGTGCATTAACAGTTCCCTGCTGTAACACGTTTGTATTATTGACATCTTTAGTGCTACATTAACTATGATGATTGTATACTACAAATCCTTTATCGCATAGCAAACAAGGAAAAACAATAATTTCGGCCGGGCCAACTTTTAATACCCCCCACCATTGGGTAAAGAAAACATTTTATATACAAGTATCTTAATTCAACCGTGTTTCACTTTAAACTACAAATACTAGTATGACCATTTGGATAATGCAGTTAAACTTTCAGAAAAAAAAACAAGTAAAAAACATTAAGTTTGACCGGGCCGAACTTTTAATACCCTCCACCTTAGGGAAAAGGAAACATTTTTATATAAAATTACCTGCTTTCAAGCGTGTTTCACTATATACTTCATACAACACTAAGACCGTTTGGATAATGCAGTTAAGCTTATCAAAAAACCTTAAACCTCTATAGAAAATTTTATACTTCAAGGACTGTCATCTATCAAATCTTCTAAAATACCAAATATGAAACAATTTCGTGGGTAAATAGGACTAAGAGTATCAAAATACCGAATATCGGCCATAATAATGCTGATATTCAGCCAAATAATGCTGATATTCGGTACTTTGATAATCCTTGTCACATTTACTCACGGAATTTTTTAAATTTGGCATTTAAGTCTTGCAATAGTTAACAATCCTTGTAGTATAAACTTGTCTAAGTGGGGACCCTTTTTGGTATGGCCCCCATATAAAGGTCTCACTTTATTTATTTATTTATTTTTTTTTTTTTGGAAAGGGAGGTATATTAACTTCGTCATGCCATTTGTAACATACCTAAATATTCATCGGGGTCTACGATGAATAAAGTATAAATATTCATGATGAGCAGAACAATTTGTATTGTGCCTAGGATGGTTGTTATAAAATTTTAGATCTATCGGTCTACGTTTTGGTATAGCCCCATAAAACGGCAACTCTCGATATTCGCTATTTTGATGATTTTTGCCACGTTTTTCCACGGATTTGTCTAAAAGTTGATATTTGTAAGTCATAATGGATTCTAGCTCGGGTGGCGAAACATTGTATATACAGGTTCACGTTACTGCATAGCACCCATATGACGGTACCTCCCGATATTCGGTATCTTGATAATTTGCGCCACATTTTTCCGCGAATTTGTCTAAAAATTTGTATTTATATGTCATAATGGGTTCTAGCTCCGGTGGCGAAACATTGTATGTTAGGTCCACGTTTTGGTAAAGCCCCCATATATCGGTACCTCCCCATATTCGATATTTTGATAAAAATCGGAATTTGCAGCTCATAATGGTTTCTACTCCGGGGGCAGAACATTAAATATTTACTTCCACGTTTTCCTATAACATGCGCGAGACTTACAATGGAAATCTACCGGAGGACTATCAATGAGATGAGAAACCCTAGTGGTAACTTGACCAATTAACGTACCTTTTCCGAAATGTGGGAAATAATGAAAGCGATTGTTTTAAGGATTGTGGCAAAAACCAAGGCTTACAGGTTTTGTTTATTGTTGTGGCAGAAACGGGACCATTGACACCCAAAATTTAAAATGCCTTTATATTCGATCAGTAACCAAGGACACCTCAGACCCAGGATTAATTAGAGCCCGATAAGAAGCAACCTAATGAAGGATATTGACAATTACTGCACCCCGCAAGATATTTATACTCTGCGAAGCGTGAAAAACTTGTGTATTTGTAACAGTAAAATTAGAAAACGTAGAAGTGGATGGCTCGTGTGGATCTGGAAGCTGTATGAAAGAATGATGGGCGCCTTTGCAAATTCTAATCCGATTATAATTTTAACACTCTTTTACTGAATATTCCGAGACCGTTCAAAACATATCTGTGTTTTTACAACCGTCAATTTCTAACCTATTGGAATTTAGAACAGAACCAAACAGAATGGTTGTGTGTGTGGGTCAGAGGGAGCAAGGTGATTATAAGTGAGTATTTACCGAAACATTAATGTAATGAAATTAAACACCGTTTTTATACCCTCCACCATACTATGGAGGGTATATTAACTTTGTCATTCCGTTTGTAACTCCTCGAAATACTCATGTCAGACCCAACAAAGTATATATATTCTTGATCAGCGTAAAATTCTAAGTCGATGTAGCCATGTCCGTCTGTCTGTCTTATTTTTTTTTATTTTTCCAGTAGGCAGGTTAGGTTCTTAAATGGGCCATGTAGGTCCACGTTTTCATATAGCCCCCATATAACGGTACCTCCCGATATTCGGTATTTTGATGACTTTAGCGACATTATTCACCGGAATTGTTTCAAATTTGGTATTTGAGATTCGTAATGGATACTACAGCCTATGACAGAAAATTGTCTGCGCAGATCCACGTCTTCGTATAGCCCCCATATACGGTACCTCCCAAAATTCGGTATTTTGATGATTTTAGCGTCATTATTCCCCGGAATTGTTTCAAATTACGTATTTAGAGTTTGTAATAGGAACTACAGTCTGTGACAAAAAATTGTCTATGCAGGTCCAGGACTTCGTATAAGCCCCAATTATCAGTACCTCCCTATATTCGGCATTTTGACGAGTTAGGTACAATACCCACCGAAATTGATTGAGACATCGTATTTGACGTTAGTAATGGATGCTATAGCCTGTGACAGAAAATTGTCTATACTGGTCCAGGTCTTCGCACAGCTCTGATATAACGGTACCTCCCTATATACGATATTTTTATGATTTTAGCTACATTATTCACCGTTAACTTCAAGTTTCGAATTTGAATATGGCAATGGCTAATGGCAAACAATGCCTATGTAGGTTCACGTCGTATAGACCCCAATATAACGGCTATATTCGGTATTTTTAAAATTTTAACGGAATTTTTTAAGGATTTTATTTTTTGAAAATTTCCAAATTAGTTCCAA